AATATTAGGTAATAAAAGTGCAGATGACAAGTCAGTTATATTAAGGTCCTTGGCGGAAGATTAGAGGTGTGAGAGGAATGTGTTAATGCTCAGATTGGGAGCATAATGAATCACATGTACTTGAAAGGGTAGATCTATGTTGTAAGAGCCTCTGGATAGAAATGCAGTCGTCTTTGTCAACGACTGCCACAGGATGTCAAGGAGAAAAATGTCCGTCTTAGAGAGGTGGGCGTCTTACACAGTGTAAAGAAACTTAAACGTGTGTGTGCGGGGGAGAAGAGGAAACAGGTGGCTGTTTGTACTACAAGTGATTTACTACAATGAGTATGAACTGCTGGATAAAAATAGTTTGGTTTCGTGTAGTCTAAGACGGAAGAAGTCCTTCGTGAGGTTTTAGTTTAGTTTTAGTGAGAATTTTACAGCACTTGCAGCACAATTACAAAATTATATCATATAAATGCGGAAGATTCGAGGAGTGAGAGGAATGTGTTAGTGTTCAAGCCGAGAGCATAATGAATTACTACAAAGAGTAAAAATAATATAGTTTGGTGTGGCCAGAGACCGTAGGTGGAAGTCATTGGTGTTGTAAAGTATGTTTTAGCTATGTCTTTGTAAGTGTTTTAAGGCACTTGCAACTTGCAGCACAATTAGGTTATAAAAGTGACGAAGATTATAATAAGTGTGACGAGTGACGAGACAGTAAGATAGAAAGAAAAGAAGGAGGAGGGATAAGGGCAAAATATGTTGGACCCAAATCCATCCTGTGGTAAAGTATGATAACGTACAATGGTGTGGAAATTGGTTATATACAAACAAGGGTGGTAAGGTTAGACAGAAAAAAAGATGGTATGATATAATATAGTATGATGCTGTGTTGTATACTATGCTATACTATGACATTGTATAAACGATGACATGGTATGGTATGGTAGGATGGTTTGGTATGGTATGGTATGGTATAGTAGGGTATGGTATGGTTTGGTATGGTATGGTATGGTATAGTAGGGTATGGTATGTTTTGGTATGGCATGATATGGTATGGCATGGTATGGGGAAGGATGATATGATACGGAAATAATAGTGTGTTATTATGTTATGGTATGGCACGGTATTTCACACCCTTTTCGAAACACTAAAGTTATTAAAATTTAGAACCCATGTATTCAACGCCTTTCTCCGATAGGATAGAGAGAAGTAGGAGGAGTGCCTTGTTGCGTGCGTCTTTCTAAGATAGGGGCGTCTTTCTACGGCAATGGGCTTCTTTCTCATACGACAGAGCGCATTAAAGGTGGAGAGCCCTTTTTTAAGGTGCTGGTTTGACGGTTTTAAAAGCTCTCAGGTGGGATTGAGCGAAGAAGGCGGAGACTCTTGACCACTCCTCACACAGTTGCAGTCTAAAACCACATCTGGTAGTCGAACTGGTGTTATCAGGCCTGTGACGTCAGTGGTTTAGTGGTAAGGTTTTTTGGACTCTCAATCTTAAGGTGATGGGTTCGAATATCATCATCTGGCCCGCGTTGATTTCTTGGGAATGGCACTTTACACGAATCAGGTAGGAATGGGTACCCAGTTATAGACAGCAAAAAGCTTTGTCAATTTGTTATTATTTGAGCGCTTGAACTGCAGCTTTGACAGTCTGTGTGTTCTAGTGGGTCTTCTTTTGTAATAATAGTCGTAAGGCGCGTACAGCATGCTGTGGAGTTTGGATATAGGACTAAATAAATTTAAAATAAAAATGAATAAATAAATTAATTCTCCTTCTCCTTCTCCTTCTCCTTCTCCTTCTCCTTCTCCTTCTTCTTCTTCTTCTTCTTCTTCTTCTTCTTCTTCTTCTTCTTCTTCTTCT